GTTTATAATTGATAACTCGATGGCAACCGATTTGCTTAAGAAACTGTTCCTTCTTCTCATTAGATGTGGTGGCGATTACGTGACAACCTTTTAATAGCGCCCATTGAGCCGCTATATGTCCGACACCTCCGGCCGCAGCCGTTATCAACACTTTGTCCCCTTTAGCCAAACGGGCGCCTTCTGACAGACCTATCGACGCCGTCAAACCACTTGTGCCAAACAGTGCTAAATATTTGGGATCTGGTCTCGGGATGACTGTCAGCCCATCAGCAGATGTCGCGTACTTTACATTCAAATAATACATGAATCATTATTTTTGTAAAATTCTTCTCAATTATTACCACATTTTCAAATTACCAGAAATTCCGAATATCCCCTCAATAGCCCGCCACCACATTTCACCACAACGTGTTGGCCCACATTGTAGTTCTTCACATCGGTTCCGATTTTGACAATTTCTCCCAACGACTAGTTTTAATCATACAATTTAGTGATATTTACAGTAAAATTAATGTCATATACGAAAACATACTTCAATGCCGAGAGGATATGGCGGGTCGTCGTGTTTGAAATAGCGTCCGGCAGTGATGTTCAGATCAGTTGCGTTGATTCCCACAAAAAGATTTTTTATTAAAATTTCGTCTCTTTTGGGATCAACTAATGGCAGCGAAACTATTTGGACGGCTTTATCAAAGTCTGTGGAGTAATTGAAGACTTGGATCTGTTTGTACGAACTTTTGGTAGACATTGTTCTAATGAATGGCGAATTGACACAAACTTTTGTTTTATGAATTAGCGAACAGAAGGTTAGAATTCTTTTGCAAAACATTAATAGATAATCGAAAGAAGTGATCGCTTTATATATAGTGTACAATTGATTTGTGTGAATATAAGTTCATTATAAGATAGCAAAAATTGCATGAATTGGATTGTTGTAAACATTGAACACAACACTTCTAATCTAAATACAAATGTACATCGATTCGACTCAATGAAAATGTCCTTGGCTAATTACTAATACACTATTCCCTAGATTTCGTGAACACCAATTGAATGAGTAAAATATTTCTAAAACCGGTATATTTTAAATATACTTTTCATTTAAAATTATGACCATTGGTTCCGTATAAAAGTTTTTTAAATGCATGTATAAAATTGAGAGCATAAAGTGTGCTAGTTTGATTTTCTAAAGTGTATAATTCGTTCTCCACCACAGAATTGCATTTCCAAAATCAATGAACAGTACTACACAAATAATATAAGTTATATTATATAACCATCATAAAAGTCCTTATTGATGTATTTTAACTAACTTGTAAGAACATATTTTATTATAAATACATTTTATTATCTATAAAATGCGAATATTATAGTGCTATTACAGTGCGAATAGAGTGCTAATCTAGTTTCATTGGGGTTCAGTTTGTATCACTATTTTCTCTCTTGCAATACAGATAAGAGACATTTCATGAGAAATGCAATATTGAAAGTCCTGTACATTTTAATTAAGTGCTTAGTAAATACAAAATGCAATTAATTGACATTGATAATGATTTTATTCAATAAATAGACCATTTGCTTGTTAAACAATATTTGATATAAAGCATTAAACAGAAAAATGCAATTTTATTGATTAGTTTTGAGCGAAATAATCGAGAAAATGCTTTTGCGGTTTATTTTTCAATAGATTTCCAGATTCTGTGCCGCGGAATAAGTACTTCTTTCCTTTCATATATTGCGATAGTTTGTCGAAAGTCTGTGGACTCGGTTCAGGGAATATCATCATCTTCTTCCCTTCCTCTATGTTCGCCTCATTGTACGATCTTTTGGCCAACTTTTCCATTAAAAAATAAAAGCATTTGTATAGCAATACAAATACAGCCAAAAATGTAAGGATAGGTATAAAGATATAGACAACTGCTGTAATAAATGATGACAACCAGCACTGGGTGTCAATGATTTGATTGTGACTTTTATCCATTGAATTCGAGTTAAACCAATTCATGTTAACTTATTGTCGATTTCAAACAATATCAGAACCATTCGTCAATTTAATACCCAATTATTTGATTCAAAACAATAATGAAAACATTACACAATTCAATGTTCAGTCATTTTCATGAAATAAATACGAATATTAAAAACATTCAAAATGAAAGTCAAATTTAATTAGTTTTACATTTCAAACTTTTTCCATATGTTTTACAAATTTGTTAATCAAAATGACAATTGGTTTGAATTGTGAATTAATTAATGAAAAAAAGAGTACAATTCGTTTAAATATTAATAATTGGTTAGAAAATAAGCTCATATTATATTAATAATAATCGTATAATAAATTGATGTAATGTTTTAAAAAAACAAATAAAAGATAAGTTTTTCAGACAAAAACAAAATAAAAATTAATAGAAATAAATTTGATTCACAATAAACTCAGTAAAAAATCAATTCTATTAAAAAAAGTGAAAAATAAAAATTTTGAAATAAATTTCTTTTAAATCGATTAAATAATTTGTAATTAAAATCAAAAGAATCAAAATAAAAGACAAAAAGAAAATGGCTTTCCATTTGGTTATCAGTAAATGTAACCATTGAATCGATTATGCGCTCAAATCAGACAATTAATACTGATTACGATAGTACTGCTGTTGTTGTGTCTGAGGGCTGACACGAGTTTGTCTTCCGCTTTGTAGCGAACCCTTATTGAGAGGACTATAGAGCGGAACGTTACTCACCGGCGGACAGAAATCTGTAGACATGGGTCGCGGTCTTTGGCCGATACCAACCGGTTGTTGAAGTCCCAGATTCTGCTCCTCTGTGGTCAACACTTCGACAATGGTTTTAATGATAATGTCGTCCGAAGGGGTCATTGGCTTAGAGGGCGAACACATTCGCCGATAGAACAGCGAATTCCACTTCTGTCTCAACTGAAGCGTGAGATTTGCGATTTGGGGCTCGAGTTTGAATGCCATCCAATTGTCAATTTTAAGGATATGCTTGTCTTTGTCGGCTTTGTCTTCGCTTTCGCTGTCGCTCTCGTTGTCACAGAATTGAGAAGTCATTGGTTTCCAAACGTTCGCCAAATAGGAATCAATGGGTGTTTGAATATTACCGGCAAAGAGTGCAATAGTGATGGGACTAATGATTGTACAGCACTCGACATAACATGTTTTGCCAGTCTTTGTCATACCATTGAATAGAAGCCAATCAGTGGGCAAAGTGTCCAGAAGTTGGGCACGATTTTTGTCCACCGATTCTTTAGGACTCAAATAACTAGTGTTGAGAACAGAGTTGGGATGAAAGCGGACGTTCACATCGTTGTTGGTTATCAATTGATTCCTATCTCTATCGACGCGTACGATATATGGATAACCGCCGCCACAAAGGGCTGCCTTCACGACCGCCCAGTCGTCGGAATTGGTGTTGAGATCGCGTATATCTCCGGGTCCGCGCGCTCTCACAAAACCAGAGGCCCTGAGTTGGCCCAACAACTGGGCCCTCATATTCACTATCATTTCCATCGAAGCCGAAGAGATAAAGTTCTGTTCGCAGAACTGCTTCTCGCAGGCGTCGTGTTTGGCTTTTTGCCAGTTTTGGAAACCTCTCAATAGGATTATGTGATCACTGAATGTTTTGGCCGACAGTTTCTTTCGGATCGAAAACGCCGTTCGCCGTCGAGACGCTTGATTTTGGGGCACAACGACTGCAATGCATATTCAAAAAAGCATTAATATTGCTATTAATCTAATTAATTAATAATTACTGACAGGGATTGTGGTATGAGAGCGAACAGACAATAGTGAGCACCGGATCCAAGCATTTAAGAACCACCGAATACAACACCATTTTACCCAAATTCGGTTCAATCGGCAAATCAAGTAAATGGAGACCCAATTGTGTCAACTGTTCATTAGATTCCAAGGCATCGATTGTCTAACAAAACAAATTGAGTTTTAACTGAAATTTCAATTAATTAATACAAACCTTCAGGAGTTGAACGGATTTTCTAACGGTTTCAAGTGATGGCGGTTTCAGCGCTTTCATCATGAATTCTGAAATCATCACTTCATTGGGAGCCAAGAGTTTGGTCTGAAGGCAGAGCTCATAGACCGACATCTTATTCATGTCAGAAGTGGGCAATTCATCGAAACGATTAAACCTCGACTTGTCGTACAGATGGAAACAGATGCCAGCGTTTAGACGATTGGCACGACTTCTTCGCTGCACAGCATTAGTCTTGGAAATCCAATTGAACACATGGTATGAGAAGCCAGTGCTCGTGTCGAACACCTTTTGCCGCACTTTTCCCGAATCGATAACAAACACCACTTCATCGATAGAAATGTTGGATTCGGATATATTTGTGGACAGAATTATTTTGCGGACGTCTGAAGGGATGCGACGGAACACCCGTTTCAGGTCATTGTTAGGCATTTGCGAATACAGTGTAAACAACGCGTATTTGTTTGCGTCGAAGCGCTTGGAATCGCTTATAATCTTTTCTCTCAATTTAATTATCTCGTCATAACCGGCGAGGAATACCAGAATCGAGCCGTCCTTCTGTTTAGCAAACAAAGTGCTGTCATTTGTTATAATAAAATGAATTAAATGGCAGATGAGATCGATGTCGGCATCGACCCGATGGCTATCAACGAGCGAATGGTAATACAAGTCAAGTATTTGTTTTTGATCGTCACTCAACTCCAAACTATTGTAGACGTTCGCCATATCTGTGGTGACGGCAGCGGTTCCGATACACTTCGAGTACGTCTCCAAGAGTTCGGTCAACTCTTTGTGACCGAAATGTTGCGACCAATTGATGGCATTCCAGTCATTAGGAGTGCGTAAAGCAATGTTCGCGCCGTAACTGAGCAGCGATTCGATGACATTGATCTTGTTGTGAGCGGCGGCCGCTATGAGTGCCGTCACACCACTCACACTGTGCTGATAGTCGATGGATATGTGTTCGGAGACCATCAGATCGATCAGGTGTTGGAACGCGTAATCGGTTCCGTGAGTCCACGCGTTTCGGAGATACGAATCGATTCTCATCTTTAGTTTGACGTCCAATTCGTCTCTTTCGGCAATAAGTGTCTCCGTATTCATGAGTCGATTGGTTCCGAAGGCGGCGAACGAATTCATGTCAGTCTCGTATCCAATATCTCCGCTGCCGTACATATAATCGTTGGTTTGCGTGACATTAATCTCGTCGAACCATTCGGTAAGCATCTGCTTCTGAGTCTCTTTGGTCTCCATTGTGTTGCTGTAGGCCTTCATTGGGTCCGATATATAGGATGTCATTCGCAGTATGTCTTCGAGATAGAAGTATTGAAGACTGGCGTTAGGGCTCGCGATCTCTATTGTGGGACAGCAGCCGAAGTAATGGGAATAAAAATGACTCATATGTGCGCTCGAAGACATGAGAATCACTTTGAAGTTACGATACTTTGCCGTCAATTCTCTGATAATTAAGAGCAAGAATTCAGTGAAGCGATCGTTTTCCTGGATCTCATCGATGATCAGATGAGTGACCGATTGAAGAGAATTCTCGCCACCCATTAGTGTACGAAGAAGTACACCATTCGTGCAGAAAGTCAGTAGAGTTCGCGGCGAAACTCTGGACACAAAATACATAATTAAAATTAATTCATTTGGAAATACAATAAATGGCAAAACAAATGCAATCGATGGCTCACTTGCTCTCGAGTCGGATCTGATAGCCGACAGTCTGTCCAATGACTTCATTGCGCTCATGACTGACTCGTTCGGCGACGCTATGGGCGTATAGACTGCGCGGTTCGGCACATATGATACGACACGCCTTCTTCATGAGATTGCAGTACTCGAGTATGAATTGCGGTATTTGTGTGGTCTTTCCGGCACCGGTTCCGCCACTAATCACTACAATACGATTGGCTGCGATGGCCTCCAGAATGTCGTCGCGTCTCTTCCACACCGGGAGTCCCTTTCGGAAGAGAATCGTCTCATCGATCCTTCCGGTCGCGAGTGGCGGACGAATCGGGATCTGAGGAATGATATTAGAGAGCCGTCCGGTCGTACAGTTCAGCCCAGGATTCGACTCAAACTGATTGTGATTATTGCCGACCAATCGGTGATCAGAATACGAGGTCTCCTTCTTCTCCTTGTCGGACACCGGGAAGCGCTGCAAAAGAGCTTTAATAATGTTTTGCGTAAAGTCTAGTAAACCGTATGACGAGTCCAACGATATGATTGTCGACGACTTCTTGTAGGCAGTGATCCAACGATTGGAGCCATTGCTGGACACAAATGCAATTGTCATTAGAGATAACGGATTGGCATTTAATGGTCTGATGGCTGTAAATACCGTCTCCTCGTTGTCTTCAAACCAAATTGAGTGCAGAAAATGTCCACAAATTGTCTTTCACTCGATGTAAGACTTGTCGGGAAATCATATTCTGTGGAGGAATGGGACCAAAAAGAAACGGCAAACAAACCAATCAATTTGGGATGTGATTCAAGTGATGGTAAGTTTGTTCATACCGTTGACTGATTCACTCTTAACCAATTTGTTGACAATGATGTTAATGCATGTCTTCACCACTGGATTCACGTCTAACTGATCCCAAGCGGTGGTAAAGCAGTCCATAATTGTTGCCACAAAATGGAGTCAAACAATGCGTTGAGAGAAATGGTGTCTAAAATGGTGTCCAAAACGTCCAAAACGTGTCCTAATTATTGGTTACAGTTTTTCATGTAATGATTGCATCAAACAAAACGGTTAACACTTTCTTACAGTTCATTCCCTATACTTATGCTTATGTGTTAACTCTATGGCCAATACTATTTCTATGGGTTAATGTTGCCCCTACACCCATGTCAATGTAACCATAGAGCAACATGTTCATTTTATAAACAATTCTAAACTAATTAGAATATTTTTAATAATTATTATATTTTAAATTAATTGTTATCTGTTCAAATTATGATAGTTTTTCATTTTGCCTGCTGTTTAGCTATAGTTAAATGTTGCAGCGTTTATTGGTGTTAATAATTTGAACTAGACTACTCTACAATGTAAAACTATAATTCGATATAAAATTTGACCGAATTTATAATGTGATTTTCGAGTTATTCGACTTTATAAAGATGGAAGAATGTACTTAAGGTACAATTCATATTAATTTATACTATAGATGTGTTTAAAAGTGTTTAAAAGTGTCTAAGAGTGTTTAAAAATTACTTCTCAATACTCCCAGCATAAAACCCTTGTGTTGTAATTTATACACTATTCATACAGTATGTTAGTCATATATAGTGTACTCTAATATAATGAATACTTGATAAAACACCTTGGTGATTCAATAATCACGTTCTGTTTATTAAATCCCCTATTTCAACCTAAACGCTTTTAATCTATAGTATAATACATGGTTTGAATCACACCAGGCTTTCAGGGTATAAACTATGAATTAAATTCTGTAATAAAATTAAAACAGAAAACTATAGTTTTATACAAATAGTATTTCTACCAATTGTATCAATGATATCTATTTACTATTATTTGGCATTAATTTGACATTAATGATCTAAAATTATATATATTCTTTAAATAGAGCATTTATTTGAGGGCAGCACTATTAATGATTGCACAGGCATTGCTATCAAGAATATTCTGTTGCCTACGATTGCTGACATTCTGTTTGATGCAATAGTGATTGTTTGTTGTATCATTTAATTGAGTCATTACTCTTATTCAATTGTAATAAATTTTGGGCAATTCTACTAAATATAACATGAATCTAAATTTGTAAATATAATATAATATAAATGACCAAGCCATAATGCTGTAATTATTTCAATAAAGACCTGCTCATTGTGTCCTTATGTATGTATCAATAAAATTTGAATTTGCTTATAACAATCAATTAATTTAACAATTATTAATTAATTTAATTAATGCTCAATTGTTTGCATTTTATTGATTAGTTTTCAGTAATTTATAGTTTGTTGTACCGGAAGACGAATACAGTATTTATGATGTTATTATCCGTATTTGTAAAATTAATGTTACATTTTATATTTTAAAATATATCAACAAATTAAATACATAATTGTTTGTGTTGTAAGTATTATCGCACATAATGCCAATTAGATGTGTCCTTTATTTAGTAAAAAGTCTTAATTAGTAATAATAACTATATTTATTAGTAACTCCTATTATCTACTTAATATCCTTTACTTGTAAATATTTTTCTTATCATCATTACTACTATAAAAATTAATTTAATGACTTTATAGATTCTATATAATATAGAACCTTAATAACATACAAGCACATATATTGTTGAATATTATTGTGGATTTATATGATTATTATTTAAAAACAATTTGTTTTGTGATTAACTGAAATAAGACCCCAAATAATAATTGATTGTATAATTAGTATCTAGATAATTAGATAATAAGAAATAGTGTGTTACTAATCTCATACATTCTACATGTATTATGAATTTGTGCTTTTATTATTATTATACTGAATAACTTATATAAATATCGAATTACTTATATGATTTATTAATTGTCATTATTTATATAATTACATGCTAAACTCAAATGTTAAATCATGTTTTTAGCAAATTTACTAATTTTTCTTATATGCAATCTAATCGAGAGATTTATTTTTTATGCGATTCACGCCATATTCAGTGTCATTCAAATTCATATAACTCGTGCATTTACCGCACATTCATGTACTTTTTTATTTAAATCATACGATCAAAATGAATTAGCAGCTTGTACATTTTCATAACTCATTACACAATACTATGAACTTTTTATTACTTTAAAACCACTGATTGAACGGTAAGACCTGTGATGTGTTGTATGTATTTGTATACAAAACACTATCAATGCAGAGAAAAAGCGGTCAATTCTATGGGAACATGTGTTCTCATAATCAGTAAGTCGTTGAGAGTTCCCAACAATTAAAACAGCTCTAAATGTACTGAAAAATTGTTATTTTTATGGTTTGTATAAATTGAATGGAAATGGAATTCTTGCAAAATTGTAGACAAATATGTAAAATCATTTAATGATTACATTTACTTTCTGTTTTTGGATTTGACTATCAAAACTTTCATAACAATTTACTCTCTGAAAAACATACATTCAACAATTGTGTTCATTATATAGCAGTGTTAGCGTATGGTTGGGAACATAAGTGTTGTTATGAAAGTTAGCATGGTCATCTCTTTGTCTCATAAATAATAATATTTATATAGTGTTATTAACAAATATTACATGACATTAAGAAGTTATTAAAACTTTTACATATTTTTTAGCGTACTTTTGTCTTTTTGGTATAAATAGGTAACTCTTTGTTGAAATACTCGACAGTAAATGAAATTTCTTCCACAAACGTAAGTGATTTCGCATTCAAGTTTTGTTATGAAAGTTAAATATAACTTTAATTATTGTGTATATTTTGCGCAAATATTTTGCGTATTTGGGATCTTTCGCCTGATCTCAATTACCTAGGTTTTATTATCTAAATTATTATTTAATATATGCGATAATTGAGCTAATATTTATAAATTAAAAATATTATAATTAAAATTAAAAATCTATTATTTATTTATATAACAAATACTGAATATATTTTTTCAGTACAGGAAAGTGTGTTTATTTTTATAAAAACAGTTTTTATTAATTTGAATTGGAAAAATAGTTTTAAAAAAATAGTCATGTATTATATATAGTAATACTGTATTATAATAATGTGATATTAAGTAATAGTTTAAATACACGATAAAATTCTAACAAGTAAGTACTTCCTTAAAACAACATTAAATGTTTGTTAAATATTAAAACTATATTATAAAAAATTATTCAATGAAATAAAATGCATAGATTATTTTAAGTAAATTTATTTTTACATTCATTGATAATTAAAAATAAACATTTATTTGAAAAAAGTAATTTTTTGCTAATTATATGCCAATTAAACGAGTTTTAAATAATTTTATTTCAATTTTTAAAATAAATGAAAATCTGGAAAATACAAAGTATTTGACGTACTGCTGACATCACACACACACTTGTGATGTCATGTATTGGTGGCGATAATACGGTTCCTCTAATCGTGTTATGAGTTAACAACACATAGAATCATATCATTATATGATTATAAAACATCAGTTCATTGCAATCGATAGTCATATACTGAACAGTATAGTAATTAAACAGTTAGACCAAAGTTTATAGTGTACTCACTCGGCAGACAGTGTACTATCACTTTGTCAAAGCCGTTAGTTTTAGAGTTTAGGTTAGCTAAATCTAGATAGATCTAGCTAAATAGATGAGACACTTTTAATATATTTATTAAAACATGTCATCCCATTCACGCCACTCCGCCTGTCATACATATAAATCATGCATTAATAATGATAATCATCACGCATTGAGTGATAATTTGTATACAAAAATTTGTTGAACTCGTTATCTATTATCTAAAATTGTTGATTTAGTTAATGTTAATTAATAATAATTTTTGGGCAATTTTTTCTCGTTTAGTGTTTTTACGTTTTATTACGAAATTAATGTAATTGTAGAGACTATAGTGAAATTATTAACGATTTAACCACTGATCCCAACAACTTCTCAGGAATTGCTTCTCTCTGTTGAATACAGTATAAAAAGTAGAAGTTTTCTCTAAATTTAGAAATAAAGCATTTATACTTTGAATGTATTCCTGAAGAAAGTTTGGCAATATTTTTGAATTTTATAATAAAGTAAGCGATAAAATAGTTATTTTTACTAAAATTATATGTGGTTTTGAATATGTATTTGTATTAATTTACATAATTTAGTCGTAATATAACATTTGACAGACATGTGATTTATATTTTTCTAATTTTTATTAAATAAGTTTTTTTTTATAAAACAAAACTTTTCCTTTTCTGATAATTCAATCGATGTTTCAAAGAATAATAACTTTCAATTTATATAGAGTGTTTATTTTGTATTTTTTCATATAAATTAGATTTAAAAGTGAACTGAAAAAACCACAAGTATTTTAAATGGATTTCGTGGCCAATACTGACGAGCGTTTTGATGTGTGCGAGAAGTTTAAGAAATG